ATGAATTTCACTACCCCTTCAAAGCTAAGGTTCCGGCTGTACCGAAAGTTCAACGAACTTCCAACGGCCACACTCTCTGGCACATTAGTTAAAAGATTGGACCGTGGAACACAGTACCAGTGCTCCTTTGATTCCAGAAGGTAGTACAATTCCATGTCCAGCGTTCAAGCAAGTGAGATAACGTCGATTAATCACATGCGGCCTAAGATGCAAATGGATGAACATAGACTTTGAATCGGGCAGACTCTTACCATACAACCTTCACTTCACCTCACGTCGAAAGAAATGAATGAGGCGGAGGCGGAAGTGATGTTCCAAGATGGCCGCAGTACGTACGTGAAGTGAAGAGTGGAAGGGGTAGAAAAACAATTGCGCACCGATCACATATATGAGTGAAACATCGCTCGCGGTTCACTTAAAATAGAATTATTATTATGTTACAGCCAATTAAGTGAAAAGTAAGAAACTGAAAATTTCAAAAGAGGGAATATTGAGTTTTTTATAAGAATCGATATCTCGTAACTGTCATCTGAAGAGTGGAAGGGGAACAGGAAAACGAAATGGGAGAAGAATTAAAGAAAAACGACAACAACAGAACGCGGAAGCAGACAACAGACAAGAATATGAATATCAGACTGATCAAGCTAAACTAACACCGTTTTTACGATACCACCAATAATTTTAAATGTGCGAATCTGTTAAATCTGTTCTTATTCATTGGAAATCGAAGCGGTAGGGAAATTGTAAGTGTTCTCAGATATGCAAGCGAAAATTTGTTGTTGGTCATGGGTCATAACCCCTCGATTTCACTTGATTTTTTCCTTTCTTTCCTCAGATGGACGAAGAATTTGAATCTGAGACTGAGGTCAATTCGGAAAATGATCGTTCTTCTCCGTGCCCACAAGAAGCAGCATCCTCACCTGTTAAAGAGGTGCCTTCATCTCCACTGATCTATTATTCTAGTGACGATGAGCAGAATGTCTTGCCGTTTTCTCCAAACAAAAGAAAATGTTATGAATTCAACGAGCCATCCAAAGTTAGTTCTATTTCTTTCATTTCATTTGAGTGTAGCATTCAGCAAGTGTAATAATTTTAATGTTTTGCTCAGGTGCCCCCCACATCTGATTTCTGGCCTAAATTTTCCGAGGATTGCAATGATAAGGAACCATCAGAAGGCTTGTTCTCAGAAAATCAAGATCATCAAACCCACATAGATTTTCACCAGGCAAGTTTTCATAGTGTTTGCTTCATGTTCAAATTCTATTTTCAAATAATTTTTACTTCTTATGCAGCTGTGTAACTCATCTGTATTGTATTGTAGGATGGATCTGAACACCAGTTAGGCTCAAAAGTCAGTTCAACAGATGATAACTCCGTAACGGAATGTAACTTAACGCCACCACCTGAAGTAAGTCGGTGCCTCTGTTGGTAATTTCTTCACAGTCGGTTATGCATTTATTTGCTTTTAAAAATCAAAGTACTAACTTATTATTTGTTTTGTAGGGTCCATCTGAAAATCTGCACTCTGCTAGGGGTGGTGAAGTTGGACTATTGCATGCTGTCAACACTGAGATTGATCAAATCTTAACAAGCAGCAGTTCTGAAGAAAGCTCTTCAAGCAGTAGTAGTGATGAAGATAGCACTTCAAGTTCTTCAGAAGAGTGTGTCAGTGAAAGTGAATATGCAAGTAGTGATGATGAGTGTGACATTAGTGCTGGCAATGCGAAAGTGTTTGATGGTTGCTTGTTGTCTGTTGATGAGGGTGTTCTATCTTTAATGGATCTTTTTGTCACTAAGAAATTAGACAAAGTAACTTTAGATGCTTTTTTAAAAAGTGTTCTTACATTCATACCACGGCCAAACAATATGCCAAAAACTATTACTTCTCTTCTGCGGTATGTAGAATGTTTGTGTCCATTACCACAAGAGAAAGTGCACTATTACTGTTCAGTTTGTTTGTACTATATAGGGGAGGAAGAAAGCAAGTGCCCTTTAAAGGGCTGTGGTAAAGATTCTCACAAATTTTATCAACTGTCAATTGCTGCTCAAATTAAAAACTTTTTTGAGAACCATGGGTTAGCAGATGAAATTGACAAGTATTCTGCAACTAGAGCAGCAAATTGTACGCCTGGAGTTTCCTCAGATCTTCTTGATGGGAGTGAGGTTGTAAGGTGCAAAATTGGAGGACAGTATGATATTATATTAATTGGTCACACTGATGGTGTATCAATCAGTAAAAGTTCAAGTTGTTCCCTGTGGCCTTCAGAATTTGTGATTGGCAATGTGTCTCCTCATTCGCGTTACAAGTTTGTCATAGTTAGTGGAATATGGGTTGACTCGTGTAAGCCATACATGAATACTTTCATGAAGCCGTTTGTGAGAGAACTTGCTCAAATAAGAGAGCATGGTGTGCACTGGACTCACCCCAGAACCAAGTTGGAATGTGCCACTCGTGTCAAAGTACCTGGTTTTATTGTTGATGCCCCAGTTCGTGCTCAACTTCAGAACATATTAGGTGTGGGAGGAAAACATTGTTGTAATGTGTGTGAAGAGAAAACAAAAAGACTTCCAGCTGAAACTAATGATGTAGGAGAAAAACAAAAGAGAAAGAGAGTTTTCATGTATGAGGAAGAGCCTTGCCTCAGGTCTGCTGCAAGAATGAAAATTCAAGAAAAGGAAACTAAGAAACTGGAACAGCAAAAGAAAGGTAAAGTGGACCCTGTGAAAGGAGTGAAGGGCTACACTGTCATATCTGATTTACCAGGTTGTGATGTTGGCACTGCTGTGTTCCCAGAGTACATGCATTTATTGTTGTGTTTTGTGAAACATATGTTTTCCATTTGGTTTGAAACAGCTGGGCCATGGAGTCTTCGACAGTTTCGAGATAGAATTGATTTATTTTTAGCTAGTGTCAGAGTTCCAGACTTTGTTACTAGGATTCCTCGCTCCACTGAATGTTATGCCCAATGGAAGGCTAATGAACTCCGTACCTTTGTGCTGTATTTGTCGCTTGTAATTTTATCTCAGTTCATGAAACCTGTTTATCTCCAGCATTGGATGTTGTTTGTGTGTGCTCTTAATTTGCTCTTGCAAGAACAAATATCTGAAACTGACATAGCAAGGGCAGATATTATGCTTCAAATGTTTGTTGCTGATTTCCATACTTTATACAAATCAGAGTTGTCCACATATTACTTACACAATGTGAGACATCTTGCCCTAGTTGTCAAAAGGTTTGGTCCGTTATGGTGTAATTCAGCATTTCAGCTTGAAAGTTTTAATGGTTCATTGCGTCAGTTTATCCATGGAACTAAAAACCAGGGTCAGGAATTAATTAACAATGTGAAACTGGCTTGTGGAGTTCAAATTTTAAGATTACGAGTTGCAACCAACTCTGCTTTACATCAAAGTAATGTCACACTTCGCAATCAAATTCAAGGTTTCAAATTTAATGAAAAGGAAATTTTGTCTATTGAACCTTTGCAACTTAAGAAACCAATTCGAGTATTTTACAGAGCTGTTTTTGGCAAAACTGTGTACACGTCATATATTTATACTCGTCAAAAGCGTCGAAATAATTTTACTGTTTGCTTTACAAACACACCAGGTGCCAAAGACTTTGGTATGGTAAAATGTTTCTTGGAAGACAGTGAGAATGTAAAAGCCGCCATAGTAAAGAAGTTTTCTGTTGAACACACAAGAGTATTTTGCCATGACAGGACAAATACACTTATTTCTCATGTTATTCCAATAAATGAAACAAAAGAATTTGTCGCTGTTCCTATAAAAAATATTTTGTATAAAGTTTTAAGAGCTGGGGACTTTGTATGTTGTAGGCCCAACTCATATGAAGTGAATTTGTGACTTATGTGCCTAATGTATAAAGACTTTACCCTGTCTTGAGGACTGTCCAAAAATATTAAACCATGTACTCCAAAGCTATGGTATTTTCATCAACTGTTTTCGCCTAAGACCTAGCACACTTTGAATGGCGCGCAGCAGCAGGGGCTTGCTGCTCCGGTTGATTCCAGATGCTAGCCTGTGCCCTGCAGTGCACGAGGGGTTTCGAGGACGGTGAGGAAATGGCTCGTGTAGCTCGACCTAAAGGAGCTTCTCGAGCTAGGTGAGCACGGCGCCGAGCGGGGCGGGCGGGGCTCGTGTTACCTGCAGCTGAGGGAGGCCCTCGAGCAGGACGGGCACGGCGCCGGGCTGACGCGCATCGTGCGCGGTAGCTAGCGTGTCGCTCGACCTGGAGCAGGCTTAAGTATAGGAGGTGAATAGTGCGTGCAACGCGCCAACCCGCAACGCTGCAGTCTCCAAGACTGCCTCTACCAGAGGAAAAGTCCCCCCCCCCCCTCTTCACTCCCCCTCGACGCTATCTTCTATTTTGGATGCATTCAGCAAATTACGTGCTTGGCCTCGGCGCCTGCGAGACTCGGGGTAGGCCAGCCCGCAGTACACGCTTGTACTGCAGGCAAGCCGTTGCCTACCCATCAGGCGCTGTGAGGGCTTGCATAGGCGAATGTTCCCTGACGCTGATACCATCACGCAAGCTCTGCGCGCGAGAAACAGAGGGTCGAGGGTGTACTCAGCGTGTTCATTTAAAAAAAGCTTATCGGTACTTATCAATTTACATCTAGTTAGATATCAAACTAACTATTGCGCTATAATTTGTTGGTGTTGAGATCAAATTAGAACTATTCAACGTAAATCTACTTTTATCTATGTTATAAATAACCTCATTGCAGCTGGTTTTTGTCGAGGGATAGTTACCAGTAGATAAAATTTGATCTATTTTTATAAAGGTCATTTAGATTTACATTGATTTAATTAGGTAAAAGTATGCAGTAAAGAATTTCTTAAAGAAACTCCTATAGTTGTTGAAAACATTTTATATCACCGTAGATATAAGAGTTGATCTAATACAACCATACAGATATAAATTATATCTAGGACTCATTTAAGCTTGATTTATTTATATAAACGTAATTTACGCGGGTATAAATAAAAATACATCTTTCTGTGAACTTTTCAAAGTAATTGTTTTTCTTAACATGACTCCATACTAGATTCACAAAATATTTTTTTTTTTAAAAAAAGCAACATTACTTTAATTGTCATTAAAATTAAAATTACTGCATAAGGTAAGAAGAATTGTATTATCTGGGGTATACTAATCACTTTGATTTAATTCATGGTCTTGCTGCATCCTGGGCAAGAATTTGTCAAAGTAAACATGAACAAGTCTAGAACATAGTTCCAAAACATGTTTCTCATCAAATGGCACCCTAACGTAGTGCGCATCTGCACCACATTCTGAGTACACAGTATAATCACACTCATCCATTCCAGTAAGTAACATACCCATTTGCATTTGTGCATAATGCTGGGTTTTCTCCTTCAAATTTCCATTTTCATCTAAAGTTTTAATACACTTGTACTCTACTAGTTCTAGCGCATTTAGAAGTTTACCTTCTTTTAATGTTTTAATCTCAATAGTTTTCTGAAAATTTCCTGTTGTTTCATTGGCTGAGCGATTAGCGAAGCCCATAACTCCACTGACCGAAAAAGTTTCATTCTGTTTGTGTGTTTGTTTGTCTGTCCGCACGATAACTCGAGAACGAATTGAGCTAGCGACCTGAAATTTTCAGGGTCGTTTTGTGTCATAAAAAGACAGATCGAGTTCGAAGATGAGCATTCTAGCTCAAATATTGGCTTTTAAAAAAATCAAAAACTACAGGTCGCAAAATGTATTTTTACCAAATATTTTTTTATTGGTTCCTAAGGGGTAAACTGTCAAAGTAGAGTCAGCCCTATGGGCGAAAATTTCGTCCGTTTGGCTCTACCTTGTACCGTTTAGGTGCTAGGGGGCATTTCTTGACAAAAATGAGGTGAAAATGATCAAATGGTCGATTAAATCGTTAAAAAGACTTCATTTCGAAAAATTGTATACAAACTCCTATTACCCCGTCTCGGGTGTCAGCGCCGCAGGCCTAGCTATATGTGCGCCAGGCGCGTCGCAGCGTTACAGTGTTTCGTGAGATATCGCGAAGCCTGTTGCGCGAGACGTGGTCTGGCGTACATATAGCTAGTCTATAACAGTTCCATCAACACTGGCTCAAAGCCAAGGTATTTCTGGTCTCACCAAAAGTCCAGTTTCAAAAACTTTGCACCTCTTCTTCCTCTCATATAAATCCCGTGCCAAAACTTCACAGCGAAGGCCTGCAGCTGTGTACTCATTCCCTTGGAATGTACTTTTGTATACTTCTTTGTACCTTGCATCCCAATCAGCTTTCTTGTTCACATAGTAAGTGTACTGTGCCCTAGCTTTGCATGCTGTGATGCTTACACTGCGGTCCTTGTGCCAGGCTGGGGTGCCCTGTTGTGTGTTGGCAATTTGGATACTCTGTTCAAGTGAGACTTTAACATTATCTTCATAAAACTGAAGTAGTTCTGGGGATAAGCAGTCTAACTTCTCATAAGTAAGCTGTCTGACTGTTGCTAAAGCTCGCCATGAACGGCATGTCAGAAGCCTTTTTATGGTGTTTTTCTGTTCCTCTTTAAGGCTGGCTGCATCCTCAGCGCAGCAAGCTACTCCAGACCATTGTCTCAGGCAGCTCATGAACAGTGAGTATTCACTGAGAACTGCACCTAAAATGCACACAATAAAAATAACTTCATGCACAAGAAACAGATTTATTCATACATAACTACAGCAACTCTCTTTAAAACAAGAATGCATTTTCCCAACGTAACCACTCCAGCCAAACCTGATACAAATTCATTTCAAAATGCCCTCAAAAAAAGGTGCACTATGTTCAATGTTCATTATTACTCCAATTTCATTACAAAAGTACACAAATTATAACAAAAAAATTAAATAGAAACATGCAGCCGAAGGCTTTAAATTGGAAAATTGATTTTTAACAGTGGCAAAAAGTGCTAAAAAAATATGGTTGAAAATATAATTTAAACATAACTTACGAGAATTTCTTACAATTTGTCAGTGCCTCTCTCCACTTATTTTCCATCTCTTTGGTGACTTCTGGCAAGATGGAAACATAAACATCTCTCTTAGCTTTGACGTGACATAGATCAGTGAGTTTCTTGGCTTCGTACTCCTTTAATGAGGATGACTTCAGGGCTCCCCACTGTTGCTCAATATCGGTGCAACTAAGCTCATCTAAATCAGACTCTTCAATTCTAAAACACAAAGAAATTTTAATTAGAAATTTATCTTTAGGGCCTTTGGTTACTTGTGAAATAAAGAGAACTTTCATAAGCAGTAAGGTTACCTGGCCAGATACAGCAGGACTGCCATTATATGTTTGCACTTTTCTGAGGCTCCAGCAGGACATTGGCACTCGGGGGACGAGTCTTTAGTGACACGAGCACCGGGTTGTTTCGATAAATCAACCCAAACTTCAATAACATACGGAGTTTTTGATGACACGCCGGTGGTGCGAAGAACCAGAGCTTGGATGTGGAGTTCATCACCGTTTTTGGCCTTCTTACCGATAGCAACGATAAACCCGGCTTCCAATACAGCCTCACCTTCGCGGATAGGCCTTTCAAAGCCTACACTCGCTTTAAAAGCGTCCAACACTGACAAAATCATGGTATAAATACGATACAAACTACTACACCACCGGCTTCCTATGCAGACTCATGTAAACACAGCCCGTCGATAGCCTCTAGGCGGGTTCGCGGAGCGGCCGCTAGGGGCGCGCGCGAGATCATTGCGTCGCCAATACCGTGCCTGGACGTGCTTTGGTTCTGTCTCGCTCGGCGTTATATCTATCTATCTATCTTAAACCACAGTTTTACTACAGTTTAATTTGAGGTTTGCTACAGTCACACTGCAAGAAAACTGTGCTATTACTTTAAGGTTCTACTGCCAGTCCAATTGTAAAAAAAATATGCTTCTTCCATAGAACACAACAACTTATGTCTGTGCTTGTTCTGCATTCATCCTTGATCATGCTGTAGAAGTTGCCTCAGGAATAGAGATTGTAGTTGTAGTACAGGCCCCATGTATAACTTTTCAATAGCAACAAAAATGTTTTGGTTATTTCAAGATTTGTTGATGACTGTACTCATTGTAACTCATTGCACATAAGAAAATAAAAGTTGATTGAAATACAGGAGAAACCTTGCTGCATTCAAGATATCTTTTGTTACAATAATGACCTTGTCAATTGATTCTTTGGTTCAAGACCTAGAGAGAAAGAAACATCAGTTCAACATTTCAACCTTGCATTTGAGCTTCTCTGATTGACATGCACTAAATGTTTTCAAAGAAGACTTACATTTCAAATCAGAGCAGAACTTGTACTCTGCCAACGCGTTCTAGTTCTGATGCAGTGATAGGCGAATAGAAGGAATATTATATCAATATAATATCAATATAACATCAACCAACTTACCACTGACTTCATGAATGATGCCATCGTAAAAGTGCCAGCCACCTTTTGGTTTTGGTGCTTGACGCCACTCCCAGGTAGAACACGTGTGTCAAAATGATGTCACAATGACCTCACTTTGACGCTCATCGTCAAAATTTACTGCGGCTAGATAGCCAGAATGAGCCCATTTTGCCTTCAAATGAGGGTCATTGACGAGTTTTTGACGATTGTGTTCTACCTGGGGCTCCACCACGTAACTCTCATCTTTCTCGTCTGGAGAGTAGCCCCTTACCCACTCTCATGGGAGATTGTGAGTAAAATCAATTGAATCAGGCGATTCAACTATCCACTCAATGCACGCAAACTTTTGCCGGGGTGCTTGCGCGGGCACGGGGGTCGTCCCACGGTCACGATTGGAGAGATCGCGTTGGGATTTGTCGCGAGTGGGTTGATCGCGTCCATTTCCTGTCCTTGACTTTGACATCTTCAAAGTGTAGGCAGACCAGAGGTCGGCATCGGCTCCCAAACCCAGCCCGTTCCGTCCCGCTCGGCTCTGTCACCCGTCCCGTCCGCTCTCAGTCCGGCTCGCTAACTCCCGCTCGCTGAGACTCGCTCGTGTCAACGGGTCCCGTCTGCTGGCCAGGCGTGGCGTAGCGTGGCGCGTAGGCAAATTCGGTCCAGCGCCACGCCATGCCACCTCAGGTGACCGGCAAGCGGGGCTCGGCCAGTCAAACGGGTCCCATTCAACGCCAACCTAACGAACGCAGTGTCGTTTCTGAAGCTTTCCGAACCAGCAACTGCCGAAGATACTTAAGGAGGTGGAAAATAACATTGACAAGAAAAACCAGATGTTTATATTGTTTTCTGTGGCGTGGGAGTGTCAGACGTTTTACTCGCCTACGTTTTTGGATTTCGTTATTCAAGACTTTCGATTTGGGGCATGGGTTGACAGTAAAAATCATGTCATTGAAAAACTGTCAATTAGTGCCCTGAACAGTATCAATTAACTAAGCCTAGAGAGTGCCTCAACACTCTCTGCAAATCTCTTAATTATTTCATCCAGGGCACTAGTGTCCAGGTCAAATGCCATGGATAAAGAGTGCACAGTGGCTGTTAAAAGATTAATAGCGTCGGTGAGGTGAGCCACTCTCCTGAAACAGAGGAAATAATTAGTAAAGTAGCCTGTCCATTAATGGGTCGTCCACTATCATGCTACACTTAAAAACTTACTCTGCCAATGCGGGAGAAGCTGGAGACGACTGTGAAGGCCCTGCTGCTTCCTGCTGGGTGGAGCAGTCAAAAACCGAGAATGGTACAGCTGGAGTATCTGAAAGAGAATACATTTTCCCCGTCAACCAAGAAACAAACTATACTGGCAAAGCTGAGAATGCAGGGAACAAGCAAATTGAAGTAACCATGTTAACATGGTACCTTCTATTTTAATTCCATGGCTCCACATTCATTTCAGCTTTACTGGAATACTTTACTAAAAATGGTTTGAAATTAATCGTGGAAAACTTCTCTTAAAAGCTGATTTGATTAAGAGAAGACAACCAGGACTGAACAATGCAGTGGTTGAATTTTCTTTACCAAATACGCTCTAAAGAGATGTTTTCCACGATTAATTTCAAATCTTGTAAATACATTTAACTTACTTAGAGAAGTGAAGTACAGCAGATGTGGTTGCTGCTGTTCGTGCTCCTGCTGAGGCTCGAGCAGTTGCGCTACCATCTGCTGTGGCACCTGAGGCACCTGCAGAGGCACCTGAGGCACCTGCAGCTGCTGAGGCACCTGAGGCACTTGCTGCGGTTGAAGCACCTGCTGCGGTTGGGCACCTGCTGCGGCTGAAGCACCTGCTGCGGCTGAAGCACCTGCTGCTGCAGCACCAGCAGTTGTTGCTGCAACTGAAACAACAGTTGCTGTTGTCCTTGATGCTGCTGGGCAGGTTGCCCAAAGTGAGCCCGCATGGGCCCAGCAGCAGGCTCCTGGGTGATTCCACGATAGAGTGCAAAATCGTGTCTCCGAGGCTAAATTCGATATTTCTGGATGAAATGTTCGGAACTTCACATGTCTAAGGCTGTATTTACCTCCCACCTATATAATCCCGATCGAAAACGACAG